ACACCCAATTTCTCCATCTTGTCCCCTTTGGACCCCTCATCTAGAATCCTAAAGTTTTACTTTTGCACCCGTGCCACACTTAATTATTACTGATATCAAACACTCAGAGCTGGTAATTGATCCTGTAAGATTGAAAACTCTTTTCCATGGGCAGAGATCACAGCCAGTGTCTCTGGGGGCTCTGTCCAGGGGGGTTCCTGACCCCTGCCAGGGTCCCAGGGCAGCCAGAGGAATGCCCTGATTCCTACAGAATAAAGCAGGGATTTATTAAAAGGCTTTTAAAGGACACACACTTGGGCTGTACAAGAGCCTGGCTGTGGCTACACCCAAGGTGTACCCCGGGTGACGAGTTTTCACACGTTGATAATTAGTCCATTTTCACACTGGGTTACAGCTGGGGGAAGAAAACTCTTCTTCCCTCGACTGAAGAGTTCTTTCTGGCTGCCAGGCTCTTCTCCCACGTGGGTGACCCGTTCCTGGATGACAGCCTGCCCCGGGAGTACGTGCTGTACCTGCGCCCCACCGGGCCCCTGGCGCAGAAGCTCTCCGAGTTCTGGCAGCAGTCGAAGCAGATCTGTGGCAAGAACAAAGCTCACAACATCTTCCCCCACATCACCCTCTGCCAGTTCTTCATGGTAAAGCTCAGCTCCTCTCCCCTCTCTCCTTTCGCCGTTCCTTGCCAGGCTCAGCCTGGAGACTTCACCCCGGCTTTGTGGGGTGATGTGGGGGGATTTTGCCAATGCCTGCGCTGCTGGAGGAGGTAATTGGGTTTTTAAGCTGTTGTTTTCAGGGAAGAGCAGCACAGACTTGAGTTCTCATCCTCTCCAGTGATCCTTAGCGTGAGAAGGGGTGGGGGGAGCTCGGGGAGGTCACTTGGGGATAGCTGATCCTGCTTTGAGGACAAGGGAGGGGCCGAGGATCTCTAAACACAGATTTTCTATTTTCTTTCCCCACGCCCCTGTGCTTTTTCTCACCGCATGAGGGGAAGGGTGGAAGGGTAGACCACTGGCACCCAGCCACATCCTTTCCTTCCCTGAGCTTGCCTGCCCTGCTTCCTTGGCAGTGCGAGGACAGCAAGGTGGACGCTCTCACAGAAGCCCTGCAGGCCACGGTGATGCGCTGGAAATGCAAATTCCCCACCCCGCTGCCCCTGGAGCTCTACACCTCCTCCAACTTCATCGGGCTCTTCGTCAAGGAGGAGAGCGCCGAGGTGCTCAAGAAGTTCGCGGCAGACTTCGCTGCAGAGGCGGCTGCCAAAGCAGGTGAGGGCTGCTCTGAGCTGCCAGCCTGGGCACTGAGAGAGAAAACAGATTTGGTGTCAGGAGAGCCCAGCCTGGGCATTGGCAGAAAAAACAGATTTGGTGTCAGGAGAGCCCAGCCTGGGCATTGGCAGAAAAAACAGATTTGGCGTTGGCAGAAAACCAAAGTTTGGTTTCAATAGAACCCAGCATAGGCATTGGCAGAAAAAACAGATTTGGTGTCATGAGAGCCCAGCCTGGGCATTGGCAAGAAAAAAACAAAGTTTGGTGTCAGGAGAGCCCAGCCTGGCCATTGGCAGGAAAAACAAATTTGGTGTCAGCAGAGCCCAGCCTGAGCATTGGCAGAGAAAACAAAATTTGGTGTCAGGAGAGCCCAGCCTGAGCATTGGCAGGAAAAAAACAAATTTGGTGTCAGGAGAGCCCAGCCTGGGCATTGCCAGGAAAAAAATGAAGTTTGGTGTCATGGGAGCCCAGCCTGGGCATTGTGAGAGAAAACAAAATTTGGTGTCATGAGAGCCCAGCCTGGGCATTGGCAGAGAAAACAAAATTTGGTGTCAGGAGAGCCCAGCCTGGGCATTGTGAGAGAAAACAAAATTTGGTGTCAATAGAGCCCAGCCTGGGCATTGGCAGAGAACCAAAGTTTGGTGTCAGGAGAGCCCAGCATAGGCATTGGCAGGACAAACAAAGTTTGGATGCCAAAAGAGCTCAGCTTGAGTGCTGACAGAAAACCAAAACTTTGATGACAGGAGAGCCCAGTTTAGGCACTGCCAGAAAAACCAAAACTGATGCCATGAAGGAGCAAAGCAGCTGCCAGATCTCCCAGTTTGGGCCTTTTCAGAACCCCAGAGCTCTGATGCCACCACGAAGCAAAGCTCAGAAGCCAAATCCCTGATTTTTAAGTGGAAACTCAAACTCCCAGCGGTGCTTTGGCTTCTCAGCTGGGAGCTCTCTCCCCCTGGGCTCGCAGTGCTGGTTCTGGGAGGGAAGCTGACATTTGGTGGTTCTTTACCCTCTCACAGAGCTGCTCTGAGCTGTTTCCTGCCCAGCTCGCCGCCTCCAGCCACCACCACAGAACTCTCCCCGGCCATTTCGAGGCCGTGGTTGTTTTCTCCCTGCGTTTCTGAGCTGTGAAAAGGGCTCTGGGAGAAGACCCCAAGTGCCCTTCCCAACCTCAGAGCTCACAGGGCTGTGTCCATGATCCTCTTCCTGCTTCTGGACGGGGAATAACCAGAATTTCATCCTCTCCACTGCTGAACGACCTCTCTGGGTGTCCTCCAGTCACCTCCAAACTGGGAACCACAACACCATGGTCCCACCCTGCAGCACTGCAGGGCTCAGCTTGGCCTGCCCACAGCACAACTGCTCCACTCCTTCCCAATCCCAGCCCTATCCTGGAGCTTAAATGCATCCAAATGCAGCAAATTCTGCATTCCTGGGGTGATGCCATGCTGGGCAGGCACCCCCCAACCATGCAGGGATGCCCCGAGTCTGTCCCTGCTCCAGAACCTCTGGAATTTGCTCCTTGCACCTGACCTGGAACTTCCCTTTAGAAGAGGGAGGGAATTTTATATTTAAAAAGGTGATTTTGGAAGGCAGACATCGGGTGGGTCCAAGGACACTGCAGCCATGTGAGAATGGGAAAAGTGTTTCCCAGAAATGCCAAATGTTTTTTTTTTTTAATCCAAAAAAGCCCACTGACCCAGAATAAAGAAGCCTTGGTGGCTTCCAACAGTCTGCCCCTGAAAGGCTCCAATTCAGGCCAAATTGGGGTTTTTTAGGGGAAGGCAATTGCTGCATTGCAGCCACAGCTTGGTCAGGTTATCACGTTAAAGTCTCTGGGGGTTTTTCAGAGATCTTGAACATATTTTTTATTGCTGATGAAAAACAACAACAAAAAAAGATGGATGAGCTTGCAAAGCCACCCCTGGCTGGCACTTGGAGCCAAGACTCTGAATAGCTGCAATTGTGACTGAATAATCAGTCAAATCTAATTGCAATTTTTGGTTGAATAAGCAAGAATAAACTACGTGCAAACAATGTATCCTTTGATTTCCACATCTACTGGAAGCGCCCAAATATTTTCACCTGGAATCATCTCCTGGTGCACATTCATTTTGTTTCTGCAGGATCATTTTGAATCATTACTATGCTTCCACATTTTGGGAATACTTCACCCTCAGTAGCTAAACTGTTAATACAACTAATGTCCAGGGAAAAGATTTAATCAACTTGCACAAACCTGCAAATTCCATGGATTTGTAATTTAGTGCAACAGAGAGAACAATGGAGGGAGAGTAAAAATCATGATTTTTAACCTGCTTCTTTTGGAAAGATCCTCATGAACCCTCCTGGATTTTCCTGCCTGGAAAAATCTTTTTTTTTTTTTTTTTTTTTTTTTTTTTTTTTTTTTTTTTTTTTTTTTTTTTTTTTTTTTTTTTTTTTTTTTTTTTTTTTTTTGGCAGGAGATCCTGCATGTCCCCAGTTGCAATAAGGATTGTCACACCCCTGTTGTTTGGCAGTTTGGCTGAATCAGACCCCAAATCTCTGATCATTTGATCCAGGGTGCAAGGTTAAACACCTCCTGTGGATGCTGAGAGTGCTCAGAGAGAAAGCCAGATCAGCTTCCCAGGCATTGCTCTGGGGGAGCTTTGAGAAAGCTCAGAGAGAGAATTAAAATCATCTTTAATCTTTGCAGCTGCTGTCGTGAAGGTGTTGTTTACTTGTAAGATGTTTACAAGAAGCTGTTCCTAATTAACCAATGAGCAGAGGGGTGTTGATTGAGGAACCCATCAGGTCCAGCTTTCTCAGGACAGTTTATAAAATAATGTGATGTCTAAGAAACTTTGCTGTTGCCTCCTGGGAAGATCTTGGAGCCTGTGTGGCTTTATTCAGCTGTCCCTAAGACAATAGCAACAACCTCCCACTCCCAGATTTCCAGCTGAGCTCCATCTTGTCCCACTGGAGCATCTTTGCAAGTGAAGCTGGGTTGTGTGGATATCCTCAGTTCAGTCTGAGAGAAAAGGAGAAAGATTTCTGCCAGGCTAAGCCTGGGGAAAGTCTGGGAGGAATGTAAACAATCGATTATCTTGTTTGTTCATATTGTTTATAGGATGTTCTGCCACACTGACCGAAGTCCAGTGCGCCAATCAGGTGAAATGTTTTTAGTTTAAGACCAAAGAAATTAATGTTCATGATGCTCTCTATAAAAGAGAGAGGTGCTTGTGAATAAATTTTCATTTGCCTTCTGAAATCCTGCGAGTCATTTTGCCCGTCCCTGCCTCAACAGCATCAGGGTTGGAGGTCACAGCCACTACCCTGGCAGGACGGGGCTCTCAACCCTGCTCTCCCCTTTGCAGATGTCCACGTGGAGCCCCACAAGAAGCAGCTCCACGTGACCCTGGCCTATCACTTCCAGAGCAGCCACCTGCCCACGCTGGAGAAGCTGGCGCAGAGCATCGACGTCAAGCTGGGCTGTGACTGGGTGGCCGCGATCTTCTCCCGCGACATTCGCTTTGTCAACCACGAGGTAAGCTCCTTTCACCCCAAAAAACCACCCCGAAAAGTCACCCCTCTGCTGAAGGTCCCTTTCCATTTGTGATTTGTGGCAGCAGCTCTCTGGCCACAGAGAGAAACACAGCTTTCCCAGGCATCGTTCTGGGAAAATGTTGGAACTCAAAATGTCCCTCAGACATTTTTGGAGGTTCCAGGCCCAGGTCAGAAGCATTTGAGACCCTGGCAGGCAGCTGCAAACAGCTGTGATTTTGGGTTTGAAACAGGGAATGAGTTACCAACTTTGAAGGTAGTCAAGCAGTCACAAAGGGTTAGATAGTACAGTAGAAGTAATTACAAAGTAGAGAAAAATTGTTTAGTATTGTACAGGGGGGTTTTAGCACCTGTACAGGGGGGTTTTACTTTGTACATGGGGGTCGGAAGTTCTAAGATGGAGGAAAGTGGCTGATCCTGTTCTTCCTCCTTCTTCTTCCTCACCTCCATGTTCTTGGTGATGTTGGCACTCAAAGATTGGTTTAGAGTAGAAAAGCACCTTGTAACATAGGTAGTAGGTATTGGGGGAAAAACTATAAACATATAACACGTAATATATCATATAAAAGATAGCAGCAGCCCTGGGCAAGGAGAGAGAAGAAGAAGACACAGACAGGGAGGATGTCAAAGGTGTGTGTGTGCCTCTGCCCAGGCCGCTGACCAAACAGCTGCAGCCTGAGAAGAAAATCTTTTAAATAACTCACAATAAACTGCCTTGAGACCAAACAACAAAAAGCTATGGAGTTTTGCATTGGAAGCACAGGTTAGAGAAGAGACTTTACCACCACACGAGACCCCTGAGCAAGCCCGGGGTTCTCACAGGAAAAGGCTGTGAGAAGACGAGAGAAAAGAATGAGAAACAATTCTTATCTTCACTTGCTGATTGTTGCTGCTGCTGTGAACATGTGCAATGTGTTATGGAGATTTGTTTAGCAAAGGGTGGTTTTTTAATTAGCCAGTGGTGATGGTGTTTTAACTAAAGGACCAATCAATTCCACCTGTAGTGAGCTAGGGTATCAAAAAGAGCAGTGGGTTTTTTTAATAAAGATTATTATTCAGCCTTCTATGATACTTGCAATCTACACTAATTATTACCAGCTAGGGGCCCGTTTGATGTGATACCCATTAACAACATTTTGTGCTTTTTCTCCCCCAGACTCTGCAAGTGATCTACCCCTACACCCCCCAGAACGACGACGAGCTGGAGCTGGTCCCAGGGGACTTCATTTTCATGTCCCCAGTGGAGCAAAGCAGCACGAGTGAGGGGTGGATTTATGGCATTTCCCTTGCCACCGGCTGCTCGGGGCTGCTGCCCGAAAACTACATCACCAAGGCGGATGAATGTGGGACCTGGGTGTTCCATGGGTAGGTGAAGCTGCTCCTCCCCTTTCCCTGGCTGCAAAAAGGGGCTCAGTGATGCCTTGGGAGGCTGCCTGGGACAGAGTTAAAGGAATAAAGCAAGGATTTATTAAAAGGCTTTTAGAGGACATACACTGGGCTGTACAGGAGACTAGCCAGGGCTACACCCAAGGTGTACCCCAGGTCACGAGTTTTCACATTTTTATAAGTTTTGCTCCATTTCCACATCAGATTATTTGCCCAATTCCAGCTCCAGGTGCTGCAGTCACACCCTCCCAGGTTGCTCCCCTCCATTCCTGCTGTTTGCACTTTTTGGGGCTGAAGCTGCAGCGGTGTCCTTGGTTCTGGGCTGGTTCAGGATTGTTCTGTGTGCTGAGCTGGTTCTGGGCTGGTTCAGGATTGTTCTGTGTGCTGAGCTGGTTCTGGGCTGGTTC